AGCTGCACTCACACCGATCATGTACACACTCATAAAACACATGCAGGGACAAGAAATTCCTAAAGGAGGATTGAGGCTACGTTCTTTTAATATGTGGGGCCTCTTTCCAAGAAAGATAACGATTCGGAAAAGTATCCTCTTGCAAATCTCTCAAAAATAGGCAGTAATTAACTACACACCTTTGTGTCAGGCCACCAGAAGCACAAACTGTGTAATTAGAACACATCTCTTTAAAAATTGAGCATGCAACCTGTATTAAGAAAGATAATACTCATCTAACAACATATATATAATTTACATGTGATAATTTTCTGAGAGGCAGCTTTAAACGGCTTTAGACATCTAGTTCCTATCACTAACACTGTGAACAATTCTCCTTCTGTAGAACAGAGCATTTCACATTAAACTAGAGCTGGGTGAGATGGCAAAAATGTAATACCACCTCAAGTTTTCATGAAATATTTCTGTTGGAACAGACAAAGTACTGCCACATCTAAAAACCACTACCAAAAACTACACATCCAGTGATTTCAATATTCACTTACTGTGCTGCACAAAATCCAGTTAATCAGGTCTAATTGTTTTCTCTTTGTTATCAAATTTGCACTTGGGAAATGTTTAAGTAGTGATAATATCCATGATATGCTCAGAAAAGCATATTGTGACACTGTGATGTCAGTCATGTATTATGATATATAACTTTTCTTTTTTTTTATTTTGTTCTGCCAGCAAAGCAAAGCTCATACATAATGTAATGTATTTTCCTATATGAAGCATAGTTCTTCTATACGATCCAGAGTTTCTGAGCGTGCTCTCAGCTAAACGTGTTGGTAATGTTAGTCATGTTAGGTCACTGGGCATGAATGTTCAGCTGCTAATGACTGGAATCTTTAAATCGTCGCTCTTCATAGCTGTGTGTTCATGAGTCAAACAGGCATGTCACAGTACAAATATAGCATGTGTCCAGGGACCTGGAGACCTGCCAAAAATGGACCAAGACCACATTAAATGAAGTTGTCTCTATCTCAATTTGGCTTATCCACACTCACTAATAAATGTGCATGCATGCATACCTTTACCTATGCATGAATAAATTACATATAATTACATATAATTACAATTTTATATATCAGAGGGTAATGGTAGTCCTAGGCTGATCTCCATCAGATCCAGTTCGAAAAAAAAAATCCCTGCTGTGGTTTAGAGCATATTATTAAATCTCAGCATGACTATGCAAAATGTTAATCTGAATATGAGCATCTACTGTAATTTTAGCCAGAATCAGTGTTAAGAGATTGAATACTGTTTTCTAATGAATGTTATTTGTGTTCAAAAGGAGACAGAAGGTGTTGTATTTGTATCACTGTGTATGAGAAGAGGATGGATACTGCTAGAAACGGCAGAAAAACTGGATCAAATATCAGAGGGAAAAATAATCCAATTCCATAACTAATTTATCCTGAAATATCACTTTACATTGAGTGATGATGTGTATTAGCTTGTTTAGCTGTCCATTTCTTTCTGTGGGATAGTAGAGTCGTTTGAACATAATAGCTTACTTTTACATACTCATCTTAAGTGAAGTCTCAAATTAGCTTCAATTTAGAGTTTAGCAGTTCACCAGGGTATCAAGATTTCAAGAACAGTATCCACATCGGAAAAGAAAGTGGTATTGTGCCGTCTCTATATTCTACACATTTACTGCAACTGTTTTTACCCCATTTAAAAACACATTCCATAACATGGAAAACACTAAAATAAAGCACTTAATATTGATATTTTTGTCAAAAACTGACATCAATATTTCAGCATCAATCCATTCCTAGTGCAGGACTGCTGCAAGCTCAACAGCGCTGAAAAAAATCAATACCACATGCGTCTTGAAACAGATGCAGGGAGTCATAATCATACATGTTGACACAGATGTCTGGCTGCTGTGTAATTCTGGGGATTCTGGGGAAACGTGTGAGAGTTAAAAAGAAGCAGCTAGCGCTCTCCAGCGGCACCACTTCTTACATCAACACAGTAGAAAAATACAGACAGCAAGTATCAGAAGCCCATGCAGACTCTTTATCCTCCACAAAACTCTTACAGTTGCTTCCTGTACTTTCAATCCCCCCCGGGACCCTCCACTCACTCACACTCTCTGCTAGGCTTTCAGGGTGTTGTGGTGTGTGTGGTGTGGAGAGGTGAAGACAGGGTGTTGAAGTGAGCAAAGAGTTTCCATCACACCACTCACACACTTGCCACCATCTCACTATCCCCCTCTTGCTATGCCCCTCACAAACAAATCTCTGACCTCACACTAATCTGGTTTGATTACAGCTCTTTATGTAAGACTTGAAAACATCATAAAATGTCAAATTGTACCATTATTTAGTTCCATTTGATTGGTTTGATATGATTCAATATTTTTTTTAATACACAACTGTGACTGGAAGGACTATATATGGGACTATATATATATATATATATATACACATACAGTAATATATAATACAACATATGAAGGGCAGTACTGTGGAAAAAGTCAGACCCTACCCTTCATTTATTTAATTTCCAGTTAAAATGGCCATTAATTACAAGTTATTAATTTTCAGGAGATAAGGTAATTAAAATAACCCAGGTGAAAACACAGGAGTTTCCAAAACAGAGAAAATGGGACTCCTAACAATCATGCAAGACCTGGTAGACCACCTAAATTGTCACCATCTGATGAACAGTATTTAAAGATTTCATTTTTAGAGAGAGGAGAAAATTAAGCTCTACTCTTAATTCTAATCTAAAAAAAAAAATCCACATGTTTCTGTCCATCCTTCCATTGTGAGAAGAAAACTCAACACTATGAGTCTGAAAGGATGTGTAGTTGTCAAGAAGCCCTTACTGAGACAATGGAAACAGACACAAAAGAAGAACATGTGCAAATCAAACAAAGAAGCTGCTGATGTTCTCAAACCAATGGGCTGGCCACCCCAGAGTCCAGACGTCAACATCACTGAGGCTGCTGGGGATTACTCGGAGTCTTACTTAAGTCTCCTTAAAAGAATGGAAGTTGTAATAAAAGACAAAGTAAGTAAATACTTGGGGAAAAAAAAATCATATTACGTTTAGTTGTTCTAAATGTAGGCTTCTATATAATTTTGTTAAATATTAATATTAAATATTAATAATAATTTAAAAAAAATATTAGAAATATTAAAAATTAATACTAATTTTCTGCTTTTTTTCCCTTAACACTAAAAAATGAAATTTTGCTTTCTGCCATTTTAACCAAAATTAAACAAATGAAGGGTGATTTCTGGCTTTTGCACAGTACTGTAATACTGTATTCGCTAAATATTGGAATATACAAACAGCTTATATGCAGAATTTGTTTTCACATTGGAAAACAGCCAGTTTTTTTTTGGCCAAAAAATGTTAACATTCTAATATCTATGCACCACGATACATCAAGGCATTTTTACACTCCTAATGATTAGTACTATTTCAATGATCAAAAACTAATTGAGAAATCAGATCAAAATTCAGGCCATAAAAAAGTACAAATGCATGGTTTGCTCCTTATCCTCCTCCACACTCCAAATGCCCCACAAGTCACATGGTGAAGGAAGCATAAAGTAGCAGGCTGCAGCTACAATAATTTATTTATTCAAAAGTCCAAAAGATTGTTTTCAAACCAGTGTCAATATTGTAATTTTCAGGAAAACTCATGACTGCAGTGGATCCTGTATGGTAAATGAATTAGCAACTGAAATGACAAACACTGCATGAGTATTCTCATGCACTGCCATGCTTTCTAAGCTGCACCAGAGCACCACCACACAGGAAGACCAACCTGATAAAAGCATTAAAGGACTGCTGTCAGACACCATTACTGATACTCCATACTCCCAGATGCCATTATGCAGAATTTTTTCTGCCAGCACAAAAATAGCCTCTTGATTTCAGCAGCTGATACTGTCAATCCTGACCTTCTAAAAGCGTAGCAGGATGTGTTAAAATCGCATGACACCAGTATTGCACCGGCTTTGATGCACTTGATGCGAATGTTTCTTATCTGATATGACAGGAGAGGTCGAGAAGCAGCCTGTATGGAAAGGGCACCTGCCTGATCATTGTTTGTCTGACGAGAAATTACCCAGCAGGCGTGATCACAGTACACAGAGAATAATTAGCACATACGTGACTGCAGGGGAAAGCACATGGAACACACTTGACATGGCACGACACCACTTTTTCTTTTCCAGTACTGACACTGAAACTCTGAGTATCAGCCGATACCAAGACATTTTTAATCCTTAAAAACTACAAAGCTTTATTTACCTCTCATTCTTTAGTTTGAAGCATTTCCACAAAGCTCCCATAGTAGAAACTCCAACACAAGTGCTTTGCTTAATAGCTAGTTTTCTGCTTGTTATTGTGTCAACTGTTATCATGTAACTTACTTAAACTCACTTTACCCTACAGTCATATGCAAAAATCTGAACACTTCCAGTCAAATTACATTTTGTTAAAGGGAAGATAAGTTAACGCATCATCTATAAAGAAAACACTTAAAAATGGCATTTTCTGCATGTTAAAGCACAAATTCCATGTGTTTAACATACTTTACAAAAATAAAAACAAAAATTAAAATATTCCATATTTTTCTTTCTCCTAATATGTTAAATTCATACACAGTAATTGTGAATTAAATGTGCAGAAGTGTGTTATCTGTAAAGGATGTGTTAATTTATTTTCACTCAGAAAACCAAAAAAATCTGTTATTTGACCAGGGGTGCCCAAAGACTATGTTTGTTACAGAACAAGATCAGATTCATTCTTTTATTTCCCTCCAATATCCAAGTCAACATTTACTGCTGCAAACCCAAACAGTGCTAATCTCTACACCTGCCTCACCAACATGCAGAATCATACTCCATAATGCAGTAACTAATATTAGTTAACAGGGACAGAAAAAATAAGACAAAAGTGAACACACGTTGAAGTCAATCACAATATTCTTCATTATGTATTCCTTTTATTCTTTTCTTGTTTCCACAAAAAGAGTTAAAACGGCTTATATAAAATGTACAGCATAATGTTGCTAAGGCAATTAAGGGCACAAGAAAGTCCAAGTTTAATGCTTCATATTTTGTAGGCACAGTTTCTAAAAACAACAGCAATGTACATGGCATCTTTCTAAAAAAGAAAGCGTATAAATGGAAGAAAAAAAAGATCTAAGATTGTTAAATAAAACAAAATCCTTCTTTGAATATAGCTGGTTGGCCTTGTACAGGCCGAGATACAGACTAGAGAGCAAAGCGATAAACAAACAAATAAACAAGCTGCCTACAGAAGACAGTTTTTCAATCCAAAACAGCAAAAATGGTAAAACTACAATAACAAAGTGGCTTTGTGAAATATGTAATTGATGATAAAGCTTGAAGTAGCACTTATGTAGTGTTTATAAGAGGTATATTTTGACACATTTCCATTCAGCTTGCAAGGACCAACAAACACCTGCTTCAACATCAGTTACATTCTACAACACTGAAGCCAAAGGAAAAGACAATACAGAGATTACCTGAGAACGTTTAAGTTACCAATGGCTCCATCACTCCCTCTTGCTCTGAACGCTTTTATAATCTCCAAAGACCCCATGTATGAACTAACAAGCAGGCTATGTAGAAAGCGCTTTGATAAACCACTACTATATTTGAATACTATTACAATTCTAATACAGTTTCTGCACTCACTTCATAGTACACATACCATTGCTAAACATGCTAAATATGATGCACAAGTTGATGGAATGTTGAAGCTTCCAGTGAAAACTGTTACAATAGCCTGGCATGTCAGACCACAGGCTTGGTTCTCACAGTCTCTCAGGACTTTTCCAATAAACTTAATGATTCACTGAAATGGGTAATTGGTTTAGCTTGAACGACTGAGAGAATTAAACATTTAGCTTTATGGGGCACAAAAAGGCGAGACACGACAGCTTTGGTTTAAACATACAACCACTGCACAGAAAAGGCCCTTCTTTATCCATACCCCCTGACCGCGATCTTAAACAGAGTGCCAAGATCTGTTTGGTATACTGCTTTTCCAATGGCTAAATAGTGACGTCATTGTACTCAACCGGTAAAACCTTCACGAACAGTGAAATCACCATAATCAGAAATTTAATACATGCAATGCATTCATGACTGCCTTTAACTATACATTAACACTGCTGCTAATCTACTCTTTGGAAAGTTGGAGAGCACCACAAAAAAATAAGGTGCTAATATACATGATCAGGGTTTGTATAATGTAATTGACCTTTGTAAAATCTTTGAATGATCTACATTACTTTAAAAGTATAATACAAGGCTGTTCTCTACATTTTTAATAGAAATCCTACACTAAGGAGACTTTAATCCATCATTAAGATACATATTTCCCTTCAATCAAATATCTAAGCATTTAAATGCAAGTACTCACCCGTTAATGTCAACAATGAGCATGGGGTGGGACACTTGAGTTCAATTAAAAAGCATTAGTAATGCTGCCTTTTACATGTGAGGCATTTTACCAAAGCTGAGATGCATCACTCAGCTTTCATCTGATCCCTGACATCTGAAGGCAAAGTGTCAAAGAGTGCATCCTCTACCACAAGGCCATTGCGCTTCAAGGCGCGACAATAGCCCAGCTCAGCTGGCAAGACCTCAAAATGATTGCCCTTTAACTCCAAATGCGTCAAAGAAACCAGGAAGGAAATCTTTGGTGAGAGCACAGAAAGTGTGTTCCTCCCAAGCTTGAGGGTTTTCAGTTTCTTGCAGAAGAACAGTTCATCTGGGATGTTCTCGAGTTTGTTACAAGACACCGAGAAGTACTGAAGGCTCTGGAGAACACCCACCTCTGGGGGAATGAAGCGGATGTCGTTGTAGGACAGATCGAGATAGCGCAGCTTGTTGCAGAGAAATAAGTGAGAGGGCAAAATCTCAATCTTGTTGTGGCTGAAATAGAGGCGCTCCAGACTGCCCAGCTTCTTGATGTGCTCAGGGATGTGAGTGATCCCGTTGTGCCACAGCTTGAGGCACGTGAGTTTACGGAGGTGCTGGAAACTGATGATCTCCTCAATGGAACGCAGGTTGTTCTCCTTAAGATCCAGCTCCTGCAGGTGAATAAGACTGAAGATGGCGTGTGGGATGCGTTCCAGATCACAATGCACCAGCTCCAGCTCTGTAAGATGCACCATTTTCTTAAGGTTGTTCAACATGACCAACTTGGTGCCGTCATTGTGCACGTGCAGGCGCTGCAGGTGGCTCGACACGTCCACAACAGACTGGGGGATCTTGGTCAGATTGCTTTTGAGTGTCAAGGTCTTGAGTGACTTGAGTTCCCTTAAAGAGTCCAGAGTTATGTTTTTTGATGCATCAGGACTCAGAGAGCCGGTTAAATGGAGTTCCTCCAAGTTCCGAAGACCATACAGCCATAACGGCAGCTCCCGGCCATCATCAAACTTCACACGCAGAACTTTAAGGTTCTCCTTGAGGAAAGTGAGGGCTGCTGTGTGGATTTTGAGAGAGCACTGGTACAAAGAAAGCTCCTGAAGATCCTCAAGCTGGGAAATAGCTGGTGGGATAGTGATATTATTAATAATCTCCAGTTTCAAGGACTGTAGCTCAGTTACCTCAAAGACTGTATCTGGAAGTCCTGAGAGCATGAAGAGCTGAAGCTCCAATCGGTCATTAGCATTGGTTTGCAATCTCTGACGAAGCTTATCCACCGTCCACTCATGGTTCAGATTGAGCTGTTTCAGCTTGTTTTCGCTTACCTCGGAGAGAAATACGGCAAACCTCTTGGAATACAGTGGATCATACTGATCAATCATGTGCAACATGAAGGCAAAGTCATTTTTTACATCTGGGATGTCATCAATTCCAGTCTCCTGCCTCACATATTCAAAAGAGTACTCCTTCAGAGAACAACAGATAAGCCAGTAGGATGTATAAAGGCACGTTAATCCATAGACAACTACGAGACACAAGTAACAGTAGCAGAGCTTAGAGAAGAGATGGGCCATTGTGTGATTGCAATAAAAGTTTTGGTAGCCTATCATATTCTCCACTTTGTCCACTTTACAGGTCACTGTAATTTTAACCTTAGACACCAGGAGACTGTTGTACACAAGGATGAGAATAAACTTGAGTACTTTGAGGACAGTCTGACGAACATACATCAGACGCAACAAATCCCCTTCCTCCACATGAAGCCGGAATTTTTTTACTTTTTCAAACAATGCTTTAGCCTGCTCTCCTTCCTTTTTATCAAGTACACTTGCAGTGGATTTATCTGCCACAATCTTTTCAGGAATAGATCTGAGCGACTGGGTCTTCTCCAGGTTGCCTTCAACAGTGGAGGTATCAAGGTTTAATCTACTGGCACTGTTCTTTTTGTGGTCTTTCTCCTCTGGATTCTCTCCTGATACCTCAGACAGAGCCCTTGTAGTCCAGGGAGAATCAAAACATTTGCCCAATATGGAAATGAAGTGCTCAATTTTTGAGCTTGAGCCAGGGAACTTGAACCAGAAATTGCTGCACACCATGAACACAATGGTGTGTATTAACACTAGGTAAGGGAAGTACTTGGCATACCAGTGCAAAGCTTTTTCATAGCACATCTGGTTTACAAAGCTGTACTGTTGCAGATCCAAGTTGGTTTTCAGTCCCTTCATCTCATGGGCCACAGGCACTGGGGAAATAGGTGGAGGACTGGCTAACTCTGTCTGATTTGAAAAAGGCACTGTTTGGTTTGGGAAAGGCGTCCTCACAGGAAGACATATGATTTTGTCCTGCATTACCTGCAAGGGTGAAGGAAAAAGTACATCAACATTAAGACAAGCAAGACTTCATTCCAATTAGTGATGCAAATAATGAAAAATTCTGACTTTAGTCAACAATTTACTGTTGAGGCTACACTATCTCTCTGGTGGAAATGTGAAATTGCACACAACATGCAGAAGAAAATTCCTCTGTCGTCTGAGGATGGGAGTGAAATCTACTACTGTCATCATATCTTCATCAGTATAAGGCTGGTTTTGCATTTGAGATCTAAACATTGAGCTGGATCTTCTTTTTGAGCCTGTATGTGTGATGATATGCAAAGATGTATGACATGGTCAGAAAAACTCCAGCAAAATTTGATCCAAAGCATTATTTCACAGTAATGCTTCTCTCATTTTTAATAACACAAAATCTTATATAGTGCAGCTTTAACAGACAAGCCTAAAATCAAGGAGGCAACCCATCACAACGTCAATTATAAAACAGAAGCTTCCACATTGAAAAGCTGACTGAGCTACGTCAAAGCCATCGTAAAATACTTGATACATATTACACTCAGAAGTGCGTGTGTGTGTGGGTATCAACTGAATTCTGTATTTATGCATCCTTCTCTATAATTCTGAACACCAACGTGTGATTTACTCACGCCACCATGCATCACACTTTCTCTGAAAGAACATGGCAAATAGTGTCTCAACACTTGCAGATGTTTGCTGTCAATATGGTACATTATTCGGTTTGTGGTATTGTCTGAACAGCACTATTTTTATCTGTTCGCTTCATTTTGGGGCCTATTTCGGGTAACCACTTGCCCATTGTGCCCTCCTGTGTACAGTTAAAAAATCTGAAAGACCAATGTGCATATTCAAACTAACAGTTATTTTTTGGGAAATAAACAGAATTGAATTATTATTTTTTTAATTTGCACAATTTAATTTATGGGTTAACAGATAATCAGTTTTACATTCCTTATTTAAATATATAGATTTTTAAGCCACTTCACTGACAATCCAAAAAGAAACCTTGTGTTTCTCAGATTAAACAGTAACACAGTCCAAAAATGGGTGTGAATGAGTGCCATGATAAAAACAGCACATTAGATAGCAAAATTCAATAGGAATCGCGTTACTGTAAACAGGATAGGATGGTAGATTTCTATTTCTATGTACTGACATCAGTGTGACTCAGACAGGAAATGAGAGATTATTGCTCTGACTCCGGCAGACTCCAGAGGGAGACATGTTCACTTAAATGCATTTGAAGAAAAATGTGCTGTGAAAATGTCAACTTTCTTCACATGAATAACAGCTCACTCAGAACTACTGTATGAAACCACTAGAGGGATTTTAATGCAGATAAATCACCATGTCTAGCATTGTCTATGTAACTCACGCCTTAAACACTGAAGGGTCTTTTTTTCCCTTTCTGTGTAAAGCCTCGTGTCTGGTAGTTTAATTGCCCTCTGGTTTGTGTGGGAGATGAGGCCCTGTCTGGGGTTCGTTCCAAGCTGAAGGACAACATCAGCTGGAGGACAGACAAAGCCACCCAGCATCACAGAACAAGAAAATCGAACTGCCAGGCTGCTGAGTAAAGCCTCGGAGGAAAGATCAGCAGTATCGTACAGAGCATGCCTCTGTTGTACATGCATTAGAGCTTCAGCCCTGAAGGACCAATAAAATCTGCATTATGCACCCCAGGCTCACGTACTCAGCCCCTCTCTAGCCGAACATGCACATTTGGCGTAGTGGCATGTTTATCCCCTCTCTATTCATAACAAGGAAAAGAATTAATTAGACCGGTAATGACTGACTTCACTGGTTCAAGCTTCATGACGTAAGCACATCAAGATGATTTCGAGTCATTGTTTATAAGCTAATGTGCACAGATTTTAAAACACCAGGGAGTGGGGGTGTATTCCCACCCAAATGATCCAGATCCTGTCACTGTTGTTTGTTTAATCTAAAAATAATTAGGATTATCTACAGGAATTTGCACAGAGGAACAGGCAGAGCTGTGAGGAACTCCTCCCACTACAAGCTGGTGATGGGGGGTGAGGAGGCAGACTGTAGAAGTCACCCAGGCTTTACGAGGAGGGCAGGGCCTAATGGGGAGGACAAGGAGGGGCTGCTTTGTGTTTGTATGGGCCTGCTGGAATTTCTACCCTTTTCCGTAAGCAAACTAACACTCCACTATTAAGCACGTTTTTGGCAACAGTGGCCCATCTGTACATGACTGGAGTCTTAGTGATCAAATTGCAGGGTACAGTTGTTTATTTTCCACTGTTTATTTAGCAAAGCTGTACGGTTCTGTCTATGGTGATTTTGGAAAGACTCCATTTTGAACAGAATTCTCTGAATTGAATCCTATCATTCAGTAAATGTGTGCAATATGGAGAAAGGACATAACATGGTTGGGTGCTTAAGTTAATCATTATACAGGCCTTTATTGCCAATTAGGGCTGGGCAACATGGTTAAAATAGTATAGCTTGATTTTTCAGGCTGTTGGCAATAAACAATAAATCTAGACATTCACGCAGTCTTTCCAAAATTGCTTAAGAGAGTAATTTTTTTTTTTTATTTGGACTAAACAAATTTTATGAAATGCAATGAGATTTTGAAGTCAAAAAAAAAATGTGGCAAATATATTCAAACTGTTAACTGCAGTAAGAAATAAAATACAAACAAAGAAACTACATAGAAATATTTAATTTTTCCATTGATGGTATATAGTCGTATACAAAAGTCAACCCCAGTCAAATAACATGGTTTGTTGATTTTCCCAGTGAAAACACATTTGCCACAGTTTGTTTTTTGTCCCCCAACATGTTAAATTCAGCATTTAAAAGGTAATTTTGCATTAAAAGTAAAATGTGTTCTCTGTAGAGGATGCGTTAATTTATTTTTACTGAGAAAATCAACAATACATGTCATTTGACCAGGGATGCCCTTCTGAATACAACTTGTACATACAACATACTTTAATATTTCTCTTGCTCTACAGGGGCCGCTGTTTAGGGTGATGGCTTTAGGTATTTAATCTTTACCCCCCTTCTCTCTCTCCCAGCATGTTTTCGAAGGCACTCTTATTCAGAGCAGTAGATAAATGCATACATGACAGGAGTCTTGCCTACATTTCTGCCTGAAAGAGGAACTAAAATCCGCTCTGCTGTGTGAAGCCTACTGGTGTTATCCAGTGCACCGTCCTATTGCTTGAGCTCAGGGCTCTGAAAAGGTTCGAGGAATGAAAGTGAAAACTGGAAATGAACAGCATTTTAATACAAAACACAGTGAAACTGTAATCATCATTAACTGTTCCAAAACAAATATTCATTGGAAATCTCTCAAATGTTTTTAGATCAACATGCGTCAAATGATTTCATTCAGCAAATTTTACAAGATTTATGCATGTATGTGGTATTTTTGTCCTTAGGCTATAGATTAATCTGACAATTGTGACATACAAATAGATATCAGCTCACTGCTTTGTGAAATCTGTGAAAATGCATCAGAGTAAGGTGTCAGAGCAGAGCATCACCAAGCTAAGTTGTTTTTAGCGTAGCTTTTAGCTTGACCAGGCTAACTAGCCGTATTCTTATTCCTATTTTTAATTTTTAATTAAATGTTTTAAGTTTTGTGTTTTATTCAATAGAGCTCCTGCACTGACTGCCCTAATATACAGACTCTTTATTTTCTCGGCTTATTTTAAATGTATCAAGACACTTTTCACTATGCCTCCGCTTAGCTCTCAACTGCGGTGCGATGGCTGTGTACAGCTAAGCAAAAAGATCTTGAAGCTTGAAAGAAGAATTTCTGTACTTCATCAATTTAAGGATGAAAAGGATCTTCTTGACTCTTTGATGGGATCAACACAGGCAATTACCACCAGATTGGATGGCAGTATCCTTCAAGCGGCTGCTGTGACAGACCAGGCCATGGATCCCTGGCCTTTGGTAGGGGCTAAAACCAAAGCTAGGGAGGTGTGCTGTCGATGAGGGTATGCATGGTGGCAGACACTCCGCCCGCCACCCGGTACCATGAAAAGTCCAGCTAAGTAACAGGTTCTCCATGCTGGAAGAGCTGGAAGACACCACTCCTTTCTCTCCTGTCCACTTGATGGACAAGGAGCCTTTAGCACTGCATGCCCGAGTGAGCTCTCCAGCCATTCACTTTCCTCCAGATCCGTCCTGGAACCCCACTGGGCAGCAGAACCACCACTCCTCCTCTCAGCCAGAGGCTGCGTCACGTCCGCCCCACCAAGCCCCTTAGCTGGATCCAGCTGGGCAGCAGAAACGCTGCTCCCCTCACATGTCTCCGCAACAGAACCATCCCACCGAGCAACCTCCCTGGTCCTTAACAGACAGCCTGAGCACCACCTGCCATGCAGCCCCCACACCAGACCCCGCCACTAGACTCTACCAGGCAGCAGGAGCACTGCTCCCCACCTCTGGATGCTGCTGCACAGCCCGCTTGCCATCACCCACCGCAGAATGCCAAAGGACAGACTTACTGACTTTCTGCTCATCAGGATCCTCTCGGACAACCAACCCGCCATCCCTCACCAACTACTTTATTAGTAGGTAACTATTATCAGAAACATTAAACCACACACCCGTTGTTCACTCAGTTGCTGGTTCAAAAATCTCAGACATTACACCGCAGATTCCCAATCCTTTGAAGAGATACCATTCTGTACAGAAGGTATTCATACATGTTGGATGCAATGATATCAGTGCTCAAAGCACAGAACTGTTAAAGATACTTCACATCTTTAATACTGTGAACATTACTACCCTGAGAGGATCCAGCACTGATCGAGTCACAGAGTACAAGTATCTTGGTATTTGGCTGGATGAGAAGCTTACATTTAAACCTCATATTAATAAACGTGTCAGTAAGTGCAGACAGAGGCTCGGATTCCTATATGGAAATGAATCTCGTCTGCCTGTGTATGCCAGAGAAAGAGTCATGGAGGTAACCTTACTATCAGTACTAGACTATGGTGATGTAGCTTATAGACATGCATCCGCCAGTACCCTCAAACCACTAGACTCAATCTATCACTCCGCCTTGTGATTAGCACGATGAGAAACACGCTGGCTTATTTTTATTCATAAAATTACTCTCTGGCCATATGCCAGTTTATGTCTCATCTATGATCTCTATAAATAACAGTAATTATCAGACCCGCTTTAGTGACTGGATCACCTGTCAGGTACCTAGAGTTTTTACTGAACTGGGAAAGTTTGCTTTTAGCTACAGTGTAACAGTGAGCTGGAACATACTACAAGAGTCTCTAAAACTCGGCTCGCAGTCATTTTAAACCTTTAGTCTCTAGCCACCTTCAGACAGCCGGTCACTGTTTTAGTTGAGTTTTTTTTTCTTTTAATTTCTCCTTTCTATTTCATTTTATTATTTTTTTATGTACTTTTTTCCCTCCAAATAATTGTATTCTCTCAATGTTATTGCTGTTTTTAATTATTTATTTTATTACCTTTTATAATTATTTTATCTGACTGTTTGCCTATTTATCCTTATGTTAAAATCTTATTAATTGGCTTATTATCTTGGTTTTATTTTATATTTATCCTTCTTAATCAAATCATAATTGTTCTCTTAATTCTTTTGCCATTTATGTTGTGTTTTTTCTGCTTATTTGTTCATTTTAGTTTAACCTGATTAAATTCCATTTAAATTTCTTTTACAATCCTTTTAATGTTGTAAATACTCGGCTACATTGAAAATGAGGGTCACCCTCAATGTATTTCCGAGTGAAAGCAAAGGTTGACTGACAATGTCCTCTATGCTTTTCTGTACACCCTCACGTCACTTTGTTTGCATTACATCATGATGCAAGAAACCATTTAGCCAGCTAGCATGCATTTTTAATGCGAGGGGTTTGATAACTTTAAGTCTGACATCATGTAACATTGCATTCAGATGTCTGTAAATTATGGGCTATTTCATAGCTATTTAGTTGAGCAATTTATTGATTCAGAAAGAATAAAATTCCATAGTCTGTGTGTGGACATATCTTTATCAGTACAAACTCAACTACCAGATCCAGTAGCTTTCTAAACCAACTCTTATTATATTATCCTTACATACAGCCTCAGTAAAAAAAAACAGAATTAAGCACTTTTTCCATTTAGTTCTAATTGGTTTCAGAATGTTATGTTGGGGTTGGAAGGCAGAATCAAATACATTAAAATACTGGTTATGCTCAAAACTAAACAATTTTTTTTTTTATTCTATTTCTGAATCCTGATTGATGTGCATTACATAATCGCTTGAGATTTCCATTTTATAACGAGGCTTAACAGGTGTTGCGTGACAGTCATGGACTTCACAAAAGTCAACTACACATATAAGTTCAGCGTTTTGTTGGCAATTTTTTTATCTCACAAATATTTAAAGCATTCTCCAATATGCCAACATCTTGGCAATCCTGATGTCCCAGAAGGCTGCAATATGCAAATGTGTCCCCTAACTGAAATGTTTTCACTAGGTGCTATGAGCATCCTGACCAATCACAGGTTCAGATGAGTGTTGTGGGTGAGCTCTGTGGGTGTTCTGATGAATGAAAGTATTCATTTATTCATGGAAAAAAATTGCAGTCCAATCTTTAAGCCTTTATATCACATTGACATACAATAATAAAGAATCAAACAATAAATAATCAAAATGTAACATCACAATTTTAGTATTCTGGACATATTATGCAAATGCCAACAAATGTACCCCATATGCAAATGATATCCAAATTCTGGGAAGAAATGCACAGAAGAACAAGTCTGGCACCAACCTGAAGGGTACATCCAAACACGCCGATCATAAGCATGACCACAGAGAGATATTCTGCAAACACATCCCACCATGGCTTAAGGACTCGGAAAGCTGGCTGCTGTTCCGAGAACTGACGGAATTCTGTCACTGGAATCATATTCCTGCAAAGACACAATGAGGAAACATGAGCTCCACTGAGCAGAATGTAAACTTCTACATCAAAGCTTGTAGTTTGACTCTGCAAGCTGCTCTCTTGAGCAGAGCAAATGGCGCACAAGAAGCTATTTGTCATATCTAAGGCGTATCACATTTAACGTAATTACAACAGGAAGGGTGCACAGAATAGCAATGCCCTGAGAATAACTGCCCTTCAGCTGTCCTTGTGGCACTGTAAAATCCATTGTACTGAAACATTCCCTTTGTGGTCTGCATTTTACAGTCTTTCCTACCGACCATCTGCAATGTCACAACATACAGCCAAACCATAACAGTGGTTTCTTCACCCTTAACTTTAGCTACAATTTATCTGTGCCTATCCAGTGTAATGCAACTTGCTGGTTTTGCTGAGTGTGTGTCCTTGTTGAACCATAAATGAATCTTACACTTAAATGTATATTGTGCAAAAGTCAGAGACCACCCTCCATTTATTTAATTTCCTGTCAAAATGGCATTAAGTACAAGTTATCCACTTGTCAGGAGATATTTCTGAGGAGATTAGGTATAAGATCATCCACTTGCATAAAGATGGGGAAGTCAAAGGAAAATAAGTAATCATCCAAAACTTCCAAAAGTTAGAAAATGTTTTAAATTTAATACATAAAAAAACGTTTAAAACCTGGTAGACCATCAAAACTGACAATGTCAGATAAACAGATTGAGTGGAGAAAATCAAGCTCACCTCGTGTCAGATCTGACAAAAAAGAAAAAAAAATCCACAGATTTCTGTCCATCCTTCCACTGTGAGAAGACAACTAAAAGGATGTGGTGCAAAGCTGCTGGTGTTCTCAGAACAATGGACTGACCATCCCAGAGTCCAGACTAAATGTGTTTGGATTACTTGGATCATGAGAAGCAGAAAATGCAATGAACTTCTAAGACTGAACATTGGAGGTGTGGAAAATTTCTTTGAAAACTTAAAAGCAAGTCTCCTAAAAAAGGAATGGAAGCTGCAATAAAGGCAAAGTGTGGACACAATAAATACAGGGTGTCTCAAAAAAACTGACATAATTTCGTAGTCTAATAACATAGCCAATTCTCCCTCAAATGATCTCAAATTTTAACACAATGTGTAAAAACTAACCAATTAATTTTTCTTTTTTTTTCAGGTTGAAGAATGGCATTCACTAGAAATGAAAAGGTATTTTGTGCTCAAACACAGTCAAACAAGAGTGTGCAGCATGCATTTAATTCAATAAAAATGCACCAACATGGCACAAAAAATTCAAAGTGGAAGGCTGTCTGTGCAGGGCAAAGGGATCTGGACGACCACCAGTATCGGAAAATATTGCATTTGTGAAGCTTTGTGAAACTGGTTATAAAATCTACATCCATCTGAATTTCTTGCTTGAATTTTGATAAATAAATCTTGTATTGTTCAACATGATGCCTATTTAATTTCTTGTTTGCCTAGGACATGTAGTTACGCAAATATTCACATCTCAAATGATGTCAATTTTTTTGGGACACTCTGTACTTAAAGTTTTGTTACAACATTTAGTTGCTGAGGCTTCTGTGTAATGTTTATGCTTTCTTCATGATGCTGAAAAATGAATCATTTGTGCTTAATGGCCGCTCTGACTGGAAATTAAATGAAGGGAGGCCTCTGGCCACCTCTGACTGCAAAGTACATTTGAGTTGCAATTTCAGTCTGTACTCAATGACATTAGCAAGTTTGTCATAAAGATTGTCTCTGCCTAGCTAGCATGCCAGTAAATGCCTGATCAACACTGATAGCTGACACAAGTTTGACACAATCTGAAGCTGAATTATACTCAGCAGAACATGGCTAGGCGTGTTAGACCAAACCTACTATAAGTGCCTCTTGCAAGTGTGAGTTCAGATATATTACAGATACATACCCTCTTATCATAACAACACGTAGCCCCTTTGGTTTGATTAATTATTGATCTTATGCTATACAGCACTCAGTTCTTGGCAGTTGATCCAGAAAATCATTTCATGGTTGATGAGCCTTACAGCTGCCTAACACAACATATCAAAGCGGACAGACTCAGAGACAGAAAAATGTGGTGGGGATCACTGAACATCTCTGAGAGAAAGGCCATGTTAGTGCTCAAAAGACCACAATGACTCATCAATTACTCATTGCTTACTTCCTTCTAGTCAACTTTAGAGAGTGCCACAGCGTCTCTAACATAATGCTGACAACTTTCCACGTGTATGCTGCAGCTTAATGATGCAATTCCCCCTCAATCTTTTTTAAATGACACAGCAAAATATAATCATCCAGAGTTTCGCTTCAGCCAGCTATTTAACAGAACTGACATTTCTATCTTGACAAATTTTTAATTCTAGCAATCTATAAGATGCAAGACAATTTTTAATGTCAGAAGTTTCTAAAATAATTAAATATCATCCTTATTTACTAATGAAGATCTCAATCAAGATCACCTTTTGATTTATTACCAACAACTGAAACTGATACTTGCACCAAACAGGCATCTTTAAAATGTAACCCTCCCTTTATATATTTAGCCCATGAATCTGACAGCCTTGAACTCTGCATACTCCAACTTCCAAGCCCTGGATATTCTGTGGAAAAGCCTTTCTGTTTAGCGCCGCTTCTAGCATAAACACACTCTGTCTTAACAAACACATGGATATACAACCAAATATATTTATATCCTGTTTGGTCAAATGTTGCTAAACAACTTGGTAGGACGCTGCTAAATTACTCAATAGACAGTGACAAGTGAAGCAATAAGAGTGAACAATAGCGTAATATACTGTAAAGGCTCTGAATGTGTCCAAGAATATCATCCCATTAATTAGTCTTGTGAAGTTATACAGTAGCACGTCTTGGGTGAAAGCCACTGTGTATTCTTCTTTTAAACATGTTTCAAAAGTGCTTGAAAAATATTTGGACGTTTGAGCACACCATCTGCATTAGATCAAGTATCAAGGGCCCGAAAAAAGTGTTTTCTTTTAACATGCATTCCACTGTGTGAGAATCAAGACACCATGTTTGTGTATGTGATGTCCTTTACTAAGCATGCATCGCACTATGTGCACTATTTTTATATTATTTTCTTTTATTAAAAGATATGTATTCCACTACATGCTCCACTTGTGTGAATCAAGAGACTATGTTTGTGCAAGTCTAGTCAACAGCATTAATAACAGTAATTCACACGTGGGACTTAATATTCGCCCTCTTTTCACGTCGGTCACCGCAATACAATTACTGTAAAGACCACTGATGGCATGTTGGCGTGAGAGCATCGGATAAACGAAAGCACTGGCCGGCCTAATGGAAAAAAACATGGGGCACTGATAAGAGAGGAAGCAATGTTAGTAAGGGTGGAGCGAAGGCTGTTTACAGATTTTGGATGAGCAAAATGTTTGAGCCTCAAAACTTTAGCCAAACTGCATTTCCTAAAAGACTGTTAAGATACTGGGATTATTCAGTGCTGGATTCTAAAGAGAAACGGTGGGCTGCTGTCTTATGAGATCAGACCCTGCTTGAGCATCTGGGACCTTGGAAAGCTTTATACTCCTTTATTCTCCTCCTAGCTCCTTCCTGCCAGGAAATGGGGCTATTCTCGCACGTGGTGTTGAAAAAAAGAAAGAAAGAAAGACAATGTTCGTCTGAATCACCTCCAGTCTCCAGGATGCAGAGTTCTGTTTGAGATGGACCTTTTAAAACAACGGAAAAAAACAAGAGGCTCAACACGTCCCTTTAGCTTGAAGTGATACAGAACAGATTGTCTTTTAGGTACGTACTGTTTACACAGTTAAAGCTTCTCCTGATACTTCACTCGCACTCAGGAGAGGTTTTAATATATATAATTAAAATCAAAGGCCTGAGCGCGTCTCAGAGAAGCGAGTTTAGCCTTTTTGTATTGGGATCCACATTTCTAACAGCTTCCACTGCAGTCTGGAGTATCCTGAATCAGGATAACGCCCGAGTGCCTCCAGCACAGTAAGCACTAATTACGCTCTGGCGCACTATAAAAACACTAAACGATTCCAGCCTGGGCACCGTTTCTCTCTAAAACGCGCTCTCGAGTTATATTTATCAGCTTTATTCAGACTAAAAGCGTGACTACGTGGCGAAAACGGATCAGACGCGAGAACAAACAAGTCGCCGATTTCCAACGACAACAGCACGAGCACGTTTTCTTATGAATGAGCCGCACTTTACGCATGAAGGAGGGAGAGAAGTTAACACATTTAGCCGGTTTGTTAGACTATTAAACTGTAAAAGCAGCGAAAACTGAGGTAAAGTTGAACTTACGTATTAGAAACGAGCCGTCGGCAGGTTATTCACCTCAGGAGAGAGAGCTCAGCGGCGGGTTGTGAGCACTAAGCAAGGAAGGCGGGCTGCATGTCCTGTCCTTGGCGCTGCTGCTGCGCTCGAGTCCCTCCTGCCCTCTCTCTCCTCTCTCCACTCACTCCTTATTCCTCCTCCTCCGGCTGCTGCTGCTGCTGCTGGAGCACAAAGGCTGCACTGAGTGACGCCGCCGGTGGGGCGGAGGCTTCCACGACTGTCCCTCCAACACAGCACACACACTGGGGGCTGGAGCTGGCGCTTATTTTTAAGTTTAAGTTTAGAGCAGCTCGGTTGGGACAATGTTAGCTGGGTGATCCCGACCTTTCTGAGCGAGACAAATTGTTTGCTTGCGTCACTCGCGGGCATTATGGGTATTTTCGGCTTTCAATAGGGGCTTAATGTGGGCTACGGGAAGGGAGCACGTGGGTGGAAATGAGGGTCTGGTGATAGTATGGAAAAGGAGGAAGGATTTTTTTTATTGCAGACAGGATTTTACAAAAATAAACAACGAGCGCGATAGCTGAGAGCTAGATACACCCAGCCTGAAAATGATGTTCAGATTTCAGGCAAAAGTGAACATCAAAGGAAGTTGGCAGGGTCAGGTTTACTACACCAACAAATGGCTGTACCCTGCGAGAAAAACCAGCATGGAAGTCCAGAGAGGCTGTTGGTTATCTTGAGATCATGATTTATTTGTCTTGTGATCTCAAGATAACACATGTTTTCTTGAAATCACAACTTATTTGTCTTGTGAACAAGTTGAGGTGATGAGAAATGATCTTGAGATCATGAGAAAAATAAGTTGTGATATCAAAAACACAACTTCTCACGACTTTATTGTCTTGTGATCTCAAGATCTCATGGCCTCTCTGGACTTCCACACTGGTCAGCAGTGAAACCAGTTGTGTTTTGATGCTGGTAGGCAGGTCAACCAGCATGACCATGCAGATTATCAGGTTGGAACCAGCAGAGTTGGCTGCGCCATCTGGCTCGTGTTTGCTCATATGTTACCTCTCTGTTCTCTGGAAGTATTCTTTGGTGCTGGGAGGCAGAGAGCTTAGGAACCCCTGGTTCAACCTAAAGTGCAAAGGAGTAAGGTCTGTCGAACCACTAAGCTCTAGAACAGGACTCAGGATATTGTGGTTCAGGAACAGATACAGAAGAGAACAGTAATCTGTGAGGAACAATTTAAAAAGGCATAGTTCTCAGTAAGTGAATACTGGAAAGAGTAAAGACAAAGTGAAGAAGAAACTTTTAAGCATCTTTTGTTCATGATCATTCTCTTATTCACCAATAAAAATAAAGTATAAATGTGTGATTGTACTTTCTTTGGTTATGAAAAATAGAAGAAGCTGAGTTTAAGGACAGCATAATGAACTATATTATTTTTTGCTTGTATACATTTGAGTCTTACTGTAATGTTTCTTTATCTGTGTGAAGGGTTGAATTCTACAATTTTTTCTCTCTCAACACGGGCAGGAAGTGTGCTAATCTCTCCATGTGGCTGAAACCAGCTGTTGTATACAGATGGTGTGAGTACTTAAATGTATATAAAAAAAGGGACAATGCAGTCCACGACCCAGTCAGTAATAAGGAACCCAGTCAGAACCATAGCCCAGTCTTAACTCATCCATAAATATATATATATATATATATATATATCAAACAAAATTTAATAGGCTTCATGTTGAACAATACAAGATTTGTTTATCAAAATTCGAACAAGAATTTCAGAGGGATGTAGATTTTATAACCGATTTCATTAAGCTTCACAAATGTAATATCTTCTGATCCAGATCCCTTTGCCCTGCACAGACAGTTGATTGATTGATGTTGATTCGTCCGCCTCCCCTCAGTCCATTTTAAATGAGCTCGGGCCCAGAAAAGGTGGGAGCATTCCAGGATCCTGTTTATGTACAGTTTATTCTTTGCATTTTAGAGTTCTAACTTGCATTTGTGGAGGCAGCAAAGAACTGTTTTCACAGACAGTGGTTTTCATAAGTGTTTCTGAGCCCATGCAGTGATTTCCACTGCAGAATTGTGTCTGTTTTTAATACAGTGTAAAATAGCTTTCTTCACCAAAGTTCTTTCTACACCAAAAATAATGCTGATTACTGCTGAAAAGTGCAGGTGCAGGTTTTTGAGAGCAACAGAATATTTTTTGGACTGTCCCACATAGACTTAATTTCCAGATAATGTCAGCTATTTCTGTGACACAAAACTAGAATGAACTTTGTCTCTCATTCTAAGAGAGTTATATATTTCAAATATGCATCAGTGATTGGTTGGTTAATTTTTGTTACAAAGAGGTTTAAGGAAGTCCAATGAAGTTCAAGCCCATTCAGGAATTTTATTCTGTGCAAATAGATGTAATTCAGTTCAATGTGTTTGTCATGTTGCTAAAAAATAAAAGCAAAGATGCCATTTTAAAGTATTACTGTAGTGTCATGAATTTTATAGAGTATGGCGGATAACTTGTTATGACATCCAGACTGTTTACAGCACAGGAAAAGTTGATGATACAGTTACTGCGTGGAAAAAGTTGGGTACATTCCTGATGAAGTTATGACCAAGCTGATGTTGCTCCAGTGTTTCTAAAAAGGTTTTGTAAATCAGTATGTATGTGATACTGTTGTGTTTGAGTTTTAGAGGAAAAAGCGTTGGAAGTTGTTTTAAAGTGATTATTTCTTCTTTTTTCCCAGCTGTTTTGTTTTAGGTTCCTGCAAGCTAGGAGCTGGGAATTCTTTGCAAGTTACAGTTCAAAAATTCCAAGCAACTTAGATGTGACATCACCAGACTGTGAGTTACATACAGTTTCATCATTGTCCACAAAAAGCTTCTGAAGGGAGGGCACTGAATTTGTGATCACCTTGGGTATGGAACTGATACCGCACTTGATGAAAGGAACCTTTAGGTATTTCATTAATAAATGCCTCGTCCTCCTCTGACAAAAGATTTCCATACAGCTCACTCAGATCACAAGTTCCTCAGACTGAAGATTCACCATTTTTTCAGGCTTTGTCTGTCTGTATAAATTTCAAGGTCTCCAGATTCCAAAACCCTAGGGGCCATGCGGTCCACTGTTGCTGGAGAACAGCCCAACCACAGCTCTTTGAGGTTATGTAGATGTGTTAGTTTCTGTGGGAATCTGGGATCTGAGATTTATCATAGTTTTAGGAGTTTCCAGTTCCCCTAGTTCGAAAACAGAATTCATTGTTCTGGAACACCAGATGAAGAATGAAGGCAAAACCACTGTAGCTGTTTTCTTCATGTACAAGGTCAAATGAACAATGTCTAAATGTACTTCTGATCAATTGGAAGCCCATTCTAGTATCTGAAAAATAATGACTGATTTTCTCACAATATTGACTCATATCTCTAAAAATTGTTATTTTCTTTAGATTTTGATCATTATTTTAAATTATTATTAAGTTATTAAATTATTTCATTATAAGTCAAAGTTTTCAGAAATTTTGACATTTTGACGGTTGCCAGAAACAGAAACACAAATTATAGATTTTTTTTGGCAGTAGTGAGCTTCCTTACAATCATCCATGACGAACTATAAAAGCAAGCAAAATATCTGAAATGGAATGAATGCGTGCAAATGTAACACACAGCCAGCATCAAACACTTTTCTTGTGGAAACATAAGATAACTATGTTCTTCACATAAAAGTCATAGATGATGCCTTTGTCTTCCTTGTGCACTTTTAGCTTCATTACCATGTTGTTTACAATCTTCAAGGCTAACGTCTGCAGCATCAACACACAAGGGATGAATTTTGCAAACCAGGAGATATAGCATCTATATTATATGGCCAAAAGTATGAGGACACCTAACCATCACACTTACATTTGTTTGTTGGACATCCCACTCCAAAACTATGGGCATTAATATGGTGTTCCCCTCTCCCCCACCTCCTTTGTGGCTATAGCAGCCTTCAATCTTCTGGGAAGGCTTTCTACAAGACGATGTGGAGTCTGTGGGAATTTTTGCTCATTCAGTCAAAAGAGCATGTTTGAGGTCAGGTAGTGATGTTGGACGAGAAGGCCGGGCTCGCCTTTGACGTTCCAGTTCATCCCAAAAGTGTTCACTGAGGTTGAGATCAGGGCTCTGTGCAGGCCACTGGAGTTCCTCCACACCAAACACCTCAAACCATGCCTTTATGGACCTCACTTTGTGCGCAGGGGCATATTCATGCTGGAACAGGAAAGGGCCTTCCCCAAACTGCCACAAAATTGGAGACATTTAATTGCCGAAAATGTCTTTGTATGCTGTAGCATTAACATTACCCTTCACTGGAACTAAGGGGCTGAGCCCTAATTCGAAAAAAACAGCCCCAAACCATTATCCCTCCTTTGCACACTCATGACAATCCTGACAATCCGCTACAAAAAAGGTTTACTTAAGCATCCAAAATGGTTTTATTAAAAAAATATACTTAAATACACTATATTGTGATATACAGGGTGATTCAAAAAGATTCATCCGATTTCAAAATGATTTGTTTCACTTGTAAATCAGTACAGAACAGTGCAGTAAATTGGAAATGGTTTAAATGAGCATAAAGTTTATTATGTAATTTTACAAGTGCTCAATATGGCCTCCTCCAGCTGTATGGACAACATCAATACAATAGTCAAATTCATCCAATACTCATTTAAGCATGTCAGGTGTCAATGTACTCACGGCTCTTTCAATGCGATTTGGAGATCATCCAGTGTCGTGGAACCAACAACTAATGCTCTGAGCTGTTGGAGGTTCACTGCTGACTAAAATCAGTGGAGAAGGCAAACCGCTTTCTGCTCAGGGGTCGCCATCTCCTCGCAGACTGAAGGGAGCCATCCTCCGGTGACAGTCAGAAACTCTATGACCCCCTCTTTCACTGTTATGTGATTGGTTCCTAGGCGCCTCATGGTTGTGAAAATATGGCGCTTTAAAATCAGATGAATCCTTTTGAATTACCCTGTATATTGAAACCATCAGTAACCTTAATTATACCATGATACAAATTTTTGCCCATACCTCTCTCCACTATTGCTCACTTTATCTGTTGCACTTTATCTTAATAATACTACTCTGTCTGGCACTCAGATTGAAGATTCTTCAAAATGAGTGCCAGACAGAGTAGTATTATCAGTCCAGTTGGTTTGAGTCCAAAATTGGCATGCTTTACACCACTTCAGCTGACGCTTTTCATTTTATATAGAGTTTTTAGGCTTGTGTGCAGTCACTCAGTCATGGAAATCCATTTCATGAAGCTCCTGATGCACAGTTCTTGTGATGATGCTGCTTCTAGAAGC